CATTATGTGCTTATTGGTATGTCCAAGGAAGAAAAGATCTGACAGTAGAGCTTATACACAGGAAAATGAAGGAGGGAGAAGGTGGAGATGTGCAAATTCAGCTGTGCCTTCTGGTAGGTGAAGATCTTGAAGTCTCTAGGTCCTTTGATAGTGCAGGGGTGTCCAGCACTCCAAGTTTCTCCTTCCCTGGTGTCAAAAACACAAACCTTTTTGGGGTTCAGTGTGGGCTAAAGGAGCTGAAAAACAGAGAAGTTCCCAGTCATTCCCAGACCAGTTAGTGAGGCAAACCCCTTGGCTGTAGAGTAAGACACCATTCCTTCTGCAACCAAAAACTGCTGTCCTTGGAGCACTAGGATATGAGGCGCCTGGGCTTTTTCTTTTTAATCTGTGCAAGTCAGGCACCTGGAGGGGATGGCAGAGCACAAATGCCTTGCTCAGATACCAGGGGGTTGTGCAAGCAGGAAGGCTGAGGGACCCTTGAAGACCTTTTGTCTCAGGAACAGCAGGATTTGCCTTTTGCTGACCCTTTCCATGTAATTACTGAGTGCTGCTGGGCGAAGCACTGTTCATGGTGCTGGCAGGATTGCTCTCACAGACAGCGTGGAGGGCAACAGCTCTCTTCGCACCTGTGCACGGACGGGCAGGGAGGGCTAAATGCTAGAGCACGGCTGAGCTGACGTGTGAGGGAGGAAACAGCCTGTGCAGGCTCAGATCTCCACAGGCCAGCAACCCCCCACAGCTGGGAGGAGAAGGTAAGCCAGAGCACACGCAAGGTCCAGGCTGCATCTCTGCTCTCCTACTAGAGAGATGCACCAAGGGCCAGGCCAGTGCCAGCATCTGACACTGGTTCACATGTGTTTTTTTCCTATGGAAGTGGCCAGCTGAGAATAACACTGTGGAAGAGATGGAAAAGAACAAGAAATTTTGGGAATCCCTCCCCATTCGTGTGTTCAGTGAAAAGAAGGTAATTTCTGGAAGTCCAGTTCCCTGCAGAATGCTTTGAGCAGAGGCAATAAGAAGCTCTCCCTTTTGCTAGGAGACTTCTCTGGGCCTTTTTCGTGATGCAGACAAAGACATCCCCTGTCTCGGAGAGCATCTCTCGGCTACAGCAGGAACGTGCACTGCATCAAAACAACCTGCCCCCACACCACAAACCTCTGCTGTGGTGTCCTTGCAAGATGAGAACCGAACCCATGATGTCCTCCCCTTCCCTGTGCCCCTCAGCCCTGGGTGTGCTTTTCAACCCAGTGCTGGGCAGGTGGCACTTGCACTCCCGCAGGTGCTGTTAGAGCCCAGCTGGATGGCAACTAAATGGGCTCTTTTGGCCACTGTTAAGAGCCTCTGGGAACACCACCTTCCCTGCCAGTGCACTTGTTGCCTTGCACAGGAATTTCTGTGTCTGCACAAAAGGAGCCTCAGTCACACACCAGCACCTTGATGCTGTAGCTGCCGGTGAGAGGGAGGCTCTGGATGCTGCAGCATTCCAATATCTGTCCCTTTACAGTACTTCATAAATTTAGGTTGGGAATATTTGTTTTAACAGCAGGACCCATTTAGCACATTCGAATATCTCCTGCTGAAGTGACAGGTTTAACATTTCCCTTTAACCAGTACAGATTGTGCCACCCCTGGGTAATGTGTGAACAAATCACATTGTTAGCGCTGCGCAATAAACCACTTTTATCTCGTGCTGGGAGAAGTCATGAAGGCCTCACTCAGGTCACACTGGCTCTGAAAGTCTGGGGGCAGGCTTGAAACAGGCTGATATTGGCTGTCCAGCACTGTGCACAAAGGCTGAGCCTCCAGGAGGGAGGTAAAGTTCTACCTGCCTGCTAGGCTTCAAATCTGGTACTTCCCAGGGAGTGTGGGCATCCCACAGACCCCCTAACATCTGTGCCTGCTCTGCATCCTGCTTCTTATGATGTGGGCATCCCAGATTTTGCCCTGAGCTCACCTCCTGCCCTCAGGGGATCACAGACACCCCCAGCAGCATGATGCTCACTGAGAACCTGTCTGGGGCAGGAGCACAGGCTCTGTGACCCTTGGCACACCTTCAGCTGGAGCTGTGCTGCAGGTGATGCTTCTTACATTTCCCTTACATTGTAAATTACATCTGACTGCTGTCACCTGTAGAAAGGAACAAATAAATCTCTTTGGCCAGGCAGGTTGCTGTAAAAGTTCAAAGCCATTTTGCAGCTTCACAGGTCAAAGGTCCTGCTATGGGAAGGAGAGGGCAGAACTTGCTGGTGCTCTGCAGCTGCACTAATGCCATACATCTCAATTTGCACTGACCCTAAAAGCCATGGGGTGACTTTGCTGTTTAAGAAGAGGTTTTTAATGTACTTTGCATGCTTTAGCATCCTTAATGGCTAATTAGGCTAATGATGAGTTTTCAGTTGCATATAGCTTCCACACAAATGCTTAGCCTGTTCCATGGGACTGAGGCCATCAGGCAGGCTTGGAAAAGGAGGAGGTGCACACATGCTAAAAGGAGTTGGAGATGAGATGTTCTGTCAGGTAGTACTGGTGAGTACCCAGTACTCTTGACACCGAGCTTTGCAGGTGGTGGATCCCAGAAAAGTGACTGAGGCCAAGCAAAGGAAATAAACATAAAGGGAGGGTGTTACCTGCCCTTTTGGGAGGGAGGAAGAGGAAAAAATGGGTGTGGGGGACCAGCAAGGGAAAAAATGCAGGAGACACAGCCTGGGAGAGGGTGGTTGGGGGGAGGAGCAATGGTGGCTTCATTTCCTGCTGAAAGACCCCTTGGATAAAGCTGCATGCTCTGCACCAAGGCTGTTTCTGGGGTATTTAACCCAGGCTGCTCACTGGCATCCTTGCACAGCCAGCCACACGCTGTGACCCAGATCCAGGCAGGTTAGTGACCCAGCAGCCTGTGCTTCTGTCCTGCTGCTGTCCTGTCCCTACGAAGGTCCTACCGAGGGGACTCTGTGAACCCTGTCCCTGCAGAGCCTGGAGATCCTTTGTTTGGCCATCTGCCTTGGGATGCTCAGGGAAGGACTGAGCTGATGTGTTTGCTAAAAGTACACAACACACTGCTTCCAGGTCTGCTGCCAGCATGATTTTTTTCTTCACTAAGTAAAAGAGAGGAGGAACTGGTGCACTGTAATGATTTTCCTCTCCTTAGGCTTGGTTGATCATTGATACTGGCTCAAACACAAGAAAGCACAATAATAAGGAGCAGCAGTCAGAGACAGGCTCTCAGGAAAGCCTTTTGTCTCCAAACCAGGCCTGGCTGCATAACAGCAAGGCTCAGAGAGCCTGCTCTTTCTGCACTGGACACATAAGAAAAAGGAGCAGCACAAGAAGACTGAATATTCTGGAGGGAGTCCAGTGGAGGCCAGCAAGACTTTGAGGTGGACAGAGCACATGACAGGCAAGGAGAGGCCAAGAGCACAGTGTCTGCTCAGAGGAGAAGGCTTGGGGGATGCTACTGCTGGCTGCAACTACAAAATGGGAAGGTTCTTGAGAGAACAAATGGATGCAACACAAAGAAATTCAGAGTAAAGCTTCCCAAGGAACAGACCCAAAGGAAATGCAGTGCTTTCCATCATCCCCATATCTCTGTGCTGGCACAGTACCTCACAGAGATTTTTGTTTCTTTGCGTCCATTTCTTTTCTTCTGTTGCAATCTCTCCCTCTTTAAATAGCACTCCCAGCAGCCACCAGATGGAAAGGTGAGTTATGTTTGGCTTATGCAGCTGCCATCTTGAGTTACAATGAACTATACTTATATCATAAATCACGTGCCCGACCCCTCTCTCAACCATGGCTCAGCTACAACTTCTCTATTGCAAAAAAAAGTAGAAGGGTAGACACAGCACTTTGTCCTGGTCAGGAACAAGAAGCTCCCAGCTTCCAGCTGGTACTTGAGTGAGAGCATAGGTTAGCCCCAAGCTTTTAGAAATTTATCCCTCTAGAAATATCCCACTCATGATTCAATGGAGTATTGATCATAGAGGACTTTATTAATGATGGAGGACTGTTCTGATCGGCCAGGTAGCAAACACAGTGTAATTCTTCTGAAGTCCTGTGCAGTTGTGGATGAAGGCACTGTCAGAGAAATCATGAGTGCTCATGAGGAGTTTGATGCTGTGCACAAATGGACTGGTGAGATCCTTTGATGAATAAAAAGGAAAAAGCTAAGCAGAGAGGCTTAGCTTACCAGCTAAGGCTGGTATTGGCACTTACTGATTTGCCTACACATCTAAAAGCACAAGTAGAAAAAACAGGAGAGCTCATAGAAGGGTCATCTCTAAAAGCCACTTTAGACGGAGAAACGTAATGGTTTCAACCCATTTAGTTTGTCCTGAAGATTGAGATGGTTTGAACACAATTTTGTAAGAATCTATGTGAGGAGATTATACTTCCAAGTCTATTTGTTTAAAGGTTTGTTTATATACAGAGCTTTTAAAGCAGGCAAAACCATAAAAAAGATTAAGGACAGGATGCCTCTTAATGCTTTTTATGCAGGGAGTGTAATTGACCCTCAGATGCTCCACCACAGCTTCAGTCTAGATGTTCCAACATGTGGCATTTCAAAGGAAAATATTGCTGAACTCTTTGAAGAGCCAGGGTATAGCTGGAACAAACCGTCCAGAACAAGCAAATGATGCTATGGAAGGTCTGAACAATGTCCTGTTCTGAGGCTCTTGGAGCAGGTGCCTTTCCACGGAGCAAGAACATCCATGGATGGCTGGAGACTGTCCCCACACTTTGCCAAGGACTGGGCTTGTTGCACACCAGTATCCAGAGGAGAGGAGGACGGGCAGTGGCTGATGCCCCAGGAGATGCACCAGTTCAGGACACCCACCCTTGCACCTGCACGCTGAGCCTACCAAGGACATCAGGAAGAACACAGGCTCTGTGTTTTCCCCCTCATCTCCTTTTCCCTTTATTTTCCCCTGCCTTGTTGCTGGGTAACTCTTTTTGCCCAGCATGGAAGGACTCTGTTTTCAGAAAAATTCGAAACCAAAGCCTTTCTTCTTCAAACATAAGAAACGATTAATCAGAAACTTTATTTTTTTGGTTTAGATTTTCTATGCAACTACAGTCAGTAGGAAAAACAAAAACAAAAAAAGGAATAGGCTTAAAATGAACAGATCTGTTTGCTGCTCTTGGCTAACTTCATCTTAAAACCAAATCCGACTTTGAGGTTTCAAGGCTGTCATAGCTGTGGTAGCACTTAAAACAAGCAGAGTGAGCACTCGATGTGGTGTACAGGGGAGAGTCCTTCCCCTGACCAAGCAGGGTCCTTGCCCTGTTTTCAGACCACAGGCTGATTTTTCCCCTCAAGCACAACAGACTTCTGCTGCTCCTCCTGCAGCATTTGCAAACTCCCGGAGGTTTTTCCATGTTGAGCATCAAGTCCTCCACAAAGCCAGGGAAAGCTTCAATTTCTCTCGTCTTTTATGGCACAGAGCCTGCTCGTGGGTCTTACTGTAGGCTTAAAGTCAGCTTGAAAAATGTAAGACCTCCTAGTGCTTTCTGTGAGAATAGGTCACCTCTCTGCAGGGATGGTTATGGGAGCCAGCAGTGCCTTGGCCTCGCACACTGCCTTCAGGGACCTGGGTTTTCCCCCGAGAGATTTTTCTTTTCCAAGTGCAGATCAGATTAAACTGTTATCTCCATCTAAAACGCAATGGATTTCTCTTCTGCCTGCCGCAGCAGCCCACGTCAGAAGCAGATATTATACCACAACACAGCCTGTGAAACGTTAATCAGACATGTAACGTCTGATGAAATGCTTAGAATAATGAGCTGAAAAAAAGCTCTGAAATTCATTCCCTGTGGCAAAGGGGAAGCTGGAGGGAAGACAGTTTGCTGTGGTCCAGGAAGGTGCTGCATTTCTCAAAAAGAGAGATGTGAAGCAGTCCTAAAGCTATCTTCTGAAAATTACTTAGCACACACTAAATCAGGTAAAATGGGCATGGCAGGATTTTTCATAATGCAGTGGGTGACCGCCCAGCTTTTATTTGTGTGTATAAATAAGAGCATGTAGGGAAGAGTGCATAAATAAGAGTGAAGAGTTCGTAAGTGGCAGCAACACAGCTCTGCGCCTTAACCCAGGGAAGCATCACAACACCCAGGCTGCAAGGAATTCGCAGTGGTGACTGCCCCAAGCTTTAGGGTGCATCCTCTTCCTCCTCTCCCTCTGCTCCTTCTGCCTTAAAGCTGTGCCCTGCCCAACCTGCGCTCCCACCACCATCCAGTGCTGCCGTGCCCAGACTTCAGCGCAGCGTTCATCAAAGAGCAGGCTGTCGACTGATGACGGGACGCAGCCTCATTGATCTCATGCAAACTCTGGTGAGAAATACATAATGCATGGACTTGGACACAGCAAGCTCTATCGCTGCTTCCTCCCCGGGATATTTTAAAGCCTCTTTTTGGCTGTATGGGACCTTGGGTAGGATCAGGCATAGCTGGATTTGTGGCTTACACCAGCTGCGGATGTCTTCCTTGATGTTCGTAGGAGTCCTTGTATTTTCCCACCCACATGATGCTTGGGCTTCATCTTCTGCCTCCAAGGCCAGGCAGCATGAGATTTACTGCTTCTCCCTGCGGGGAGAGAAGCACCAAAGGGACGTGTGATTGACATCAATGTATATAAATCACAAAATCCTTTCATCTTGATGCTGATATTAGCAGATCCCTCGTCCCAAATTCTTCTTAGACGCTCTCCATGGGATGACTTCTCCTATGTATGCCAAGCCTGGACTGCAACCAACTCCACCAAATAAATGACTAAAACCTGGGTGAAATGAGAGGCAGCTTTTTTCTCAATATCTAATGCTTTAAATGGCTGGTTTTGGTCATTCCCTACCACTGGGGGAAGGATGGAGGCCAGGTGAGCTGGAATTCCTTCTCCATCCACCCTGCTCTCCTGGTCTGACAGGGATTTATATCCCTCCTTCCCCTGGGATTTACTCCTTTGAGCAGCTGTGCTGGCTTTTTGCTGCGGCACAATCATGCTTGATTAGTTCCTGGAAATACAGAGCATTATTTCCATTGCAATTTATTACAGCCACTGAGACATAAACTCAGGAGGAAGGGAACAAGAGGATACTGCAGGTAAAGGTTTTCAGAAGGCGGAGGAAAAAAAAGGGGGGGGAAAATCAAACCCTTGCCATCTAATAGCTTGGAAAAGCTTATTGTAAGGTAATGCTGTTGAGGAGCCATGCCAGCCTGGAGAGCCATTGTCAAGGACACTGCTGGGAGGCAGTCCTGAAGGAAAGAAATTGGATAGCAGAGTTGAAAAGAGGGAGGGCAGGACAAGCAGGGCACAGCAGTGGGTGCTGAGAAAGGGCTGACAGGAGAAGAGCTAATTGCACATGTAGTGGGTTTAGCCACTGCCTTTGCTCTCACAGGATACATTGCCCTTTGCACCCCCTTGGAGAGAGGTCAGGAGGAGATTTACTGCTGAATATCAAAAATCAATGCTTCTGTTGGTATATAGAGAATTACTGCCAGGTACTATGTGCCAAGGCTGTGTCAGAAAATGAAACAAAATATGGCAAGAGTTGAAGCTTGCTGTGGTAGCTCCAAGATGCCCACCTAGGACCACGGGCCCACCCCTGAAGCAGCATCCCACCTTGGCAGCATCGTGTTTGCAATGATAAATTGCATGGATTCCTGCTAGAGCAGCAGGAGCAGTCCTTCACTGGGAGGAGGAGGCACTTCACTGGCACTTTGTTAAATTCAAACTGAAACCAGGCTGTGGGTGGTTGCTTGAATCCTTGCCAGTGGGAAAGAAGGTAGAAAAAATAAAATTATTGCTTTAACAAATGACCTTTCTCTTTTGGTTTTAATTGTGATTTTCAATGCTGTTCTTGATCAGCCAAAAAAGACAAAATTAAAGGAAAATTCACTTAATTAAAACATGTCTGAAAAAGAAAATGTAATGGGCAGAAATAATAACAGTGTAAATGTCCAACACAATTCATTTTGCTGAGCCAGGAGGTGAATGGTCCCTCTGCAGTCCCTGTAAAAACTCAGAAAATGGAGAGAAACCCAAATGAGAGAACTCTAGGAGCAAATTGAGCCTATTTTGGCATGCTTTGCAAGTTAGTCATGTCTATGTGAAATAGAAAAACCACTTGGGACATCATGGGAACCTTGCAGTTGTGCATTTTCAGCAGCCATAGCCTATGCCATGCTGGCCATCCCACTGGGAGCCCGAAGAGCATTTCCATGCTCCAAACCCATCTTCTCCACAGGGTCCAGCCAGGCAGGACAAGGGCTGAAGTGTGTTGATTGCTTTGTGCCAACAGATTTATGCAATGAAAAACCATGGGGGTTTTGCTCAATAAAGAGCACACAAGGAGGGGAAAAAAAACCTATGAATTTAAAGTCATTTGTGATTGAAGCACTGAGCTCCTTCTGCCAGGTTGGATCTTCAGGCAGGTATAGCTGTGACAGGTATGCTCCCTGGCTACTTCAGCAGCAGCAAAGGCCAGGGATCAGTGTCCTGCAGGAGGGTCATGTCTGTAAGCTCCTTCTAACATGTGTGACGAAGATGCAGATGCCAATGGAGTAAACCCCACTCTCGGCTGGATATCAACACACATCAGTGACATACCTTCAATGTCTCAGTGGTTTGAACCATCCCTAGGTGCCAAGAGCCTGCACATGAGGTTCAGCCTGCATGGAAAGGCTGTGTGCACAGAGCAAATGGGAAAAGCAGGTGGGGTGAGCGATGCCTGCCCACACTGACAGTCACAGGGACCTCTGGCAAGGGGCATCAGAGTCAGGTGTGCAAAGCAGTAATTCCACTGGCCTGTGGCACCCTGGGGCTCAGAGTTCCTCATGGAGGCAAAATCTTTTAAGTCATCTATCTGAACGGTGAGGGGAGCAGATGTGGCCAGCCAGAGCCTGCCAGAGCAATAGGGCTGGTGTTGTAGAGTTGGTAATGGGTGATGAATTTAACAGTGTGCTCAAACCCCACAGGAGAAGCTGCTCTGCTTCAGAGAAGATGAGCCTTGACACGGTCTCTAACCAGGCTAGGCAAAACACCACAGTGAGAAATGCAGTCAGAGACGGTCCTGCTAGTGTCAGCATCTCACCAGGAAGACACTGCCAAAGGCAATGGGGCTGATAGGCCTGGAAAGCTCAGGGGATTGTGGTGCCCAATAGAGCCCAGGCACCTTGCAGGGTTGGCAGGGAAGGCAGACAAGACCAGGCTGTGGGCAGGGTGATGACTGGCATCAGCAGGAAGCATCCACAAAGTCCCTAGGATGATGCTTCCCCTGGGTTTTGAGTTTGGCAGGACAGATGGCTCTGCATCTGCAGCCAAAACTCATTTATCCTGAGAGCTGAGCTCAGGCCCTCTGTGAATAACCCAGCCTGCAGATAACATCTCACGCCTTGTGAAGGGCCAAGGCTGATTTACATGCTTCTTTATAAATTTAGTAACTTAGAGTTAACAAGAGCAAACAGGCTCAAACCATAAACATGGGCAAGTGCGTGACAGGTCTCTCCTCCCTCCACAGAAGCAGAAGTATCTTGTGGCTGCAATATTGCCTGAAATGAGATTTTCTGTAGCTGAAAGGTTTTGCATTTGGGGATGCACTTGAGGATCCAGCTCAGAGCTCCATGGTGCTGACCCTCTGGACCTCGGGGGTGGTGGCTCCAGCATGAGCAGCACCCAGAGGATGCCCGGCGAGGGCTACAGAGGTGTTCTTTGCCAAATAACACATTGGTCATGAAGTTAAGAACGCACCAAATAATTCATAAGAAGAAATGAATTATTAAATAACTTCTCATTATTGCTATTCTAATTACACACCGTTAATTTCATACCTAAAACGTGCTGTAATGTTCTTGCTGAATCATATCTTGCTGGTCACAAATTTGAGGGTTTCAACACGCCTGTAGTGTTGGAAGGTAAAAGCAAATTTTAGGGGACCAGGGCAAGTGCCTCAGGGGCAATTTAACTATTCACTTTGCAGTAAAAAAAATAATATAGAAAATCCCTTTTCCCCAAACCCAATCGCCCAAATTACTGTGCTTCTTTCCTCTTACTGTAAGCAACTACAATACATTTTAACAGAGGGAGCAGTTTGGAAGCCAGAGGGTCAGTGTGCAGGACAGGGATCTGTAAGGAGCTAAACCTTGTCCAAAGGGTCTTGCAGTGCCCGGGTATTCCTGGGAGCAGCCACACTGCCAGTGATTCTTCATCAAACCCGGGAAGCTGCGTGTGCCGGGCAAGCTGCCACCTCTCCCAGCAGCTCCCCCGTGGTGGGCTGTGTGCTTTGGCAGCTTCCCCAGCATCCCCGGGGTCTCCAAGGAGTGCTGCTAATGGGCTCCACGTGGGTCCCTGTCACTGAGTGAAGAAAGGATCATTTCAGGCAAATGGCAGCTTTGCCTGAATTGTGTGAGTTTCCTTGTCCTTTTATGGCAGCCCATAAAATGGATCATCTGTCTTAAAAGACATGGGCAGGTAATCACAAGCTCAGCTGAGGTCTGCCTTGCATACTGGTGCTGGCTGGGGAGCACAGGAGGACCCAGGGGAGGCTCCACACCATCAGCTCCATCTGGACCAGATCGCTGCTGCATTTTCACTGGCAGATTGAGCTATCTGGGGACTTTTTGGAAAAAGTGCCTGGGCGGGGGGAAATGTTCCATTCTCCTTAGGAGAGCAGGAGACAGCCACAACTCTATTTTCAGATGAAGTTTCCAAGGCACTTGTTTACCGGCACTGCCAACAAAAGCTGTTATCGCATCAGCACTGCTGACAGCTCTGTCTGCAGCTGACTTTCCAGGGGAAGCACCTCAAGAGTGCTGGAGGCAGTGCCGGGGCTTTGTGGAAGGGATACGGCAGTCGCATGCACTTGAAACGTGTTAATCAGCACTTGAGCCCAGGGACGCTGCTCTCCTTTCCCTTCCTGGGATGAAACCTGTCCCTGCTGACTAGTGCCAAGCGGTCAGTGTCCCCTTCCAGTGCTGCCTGCTCTGGAAGCAGTCACTGGCAGCTGGATCCTCACCAGCCATTGGCAGGGTGAGGTTTTGGGGGATGGCTAGTGCCATGATGATGCAAGCATCCCTGTTCAGCATCACCCTCTGAGCCTGTCACATCAGCTAGGTCTGAAGTGCTATATTTGTACCTGATCTTCTTGTCATGCCTGGGATGTGCAAGGTCTCTGGAGCAGCCCTCTTGGAGACTGTGCTGTTCTATCTGCTGTGCTCCTCTCAGATAGTCATTAGGTAATTACCTGGGAAGTCAATTGAGCTTGCCTGGATCAATTTATTTACTGCACACCCATCCTGCTGATTTCTCCCAGGCCCACAAGCTCTGAAGAGCTGCTCCCAAGTACTTATGCAAGTGGCCAGGATCCTCAGGATCTGCACCAGGAGACACTGAGCTGCTCTGGTGGAGCATAAAGCATCATCCCTCACTCTTTGTGCCCTTTTGTAGGGTATCATCTGTGCAGGTGTCTTGTCCTGTCCTTCAGCTGCTGCTGTTACTGCCAAGACCCCCACTTTATGCCCCCCGACTGCCCACTGCCCCATCAAGGCAAGCTCAGGAGGTGGCATGCTGCCACCCTACCAGAAGCCTGGGGCATCCAGCCCTGGTCTGGCCAGGGTCTCCACCCCTGCAGAGAGGCCACAGACACCCAGAGGAGTGAGGGTAAGCTTCTCCTGCAGACAGGGACATGCACTGAGGGGATGCGAGGCATCCCAATCACATACCTGGGAGGTGAAGTTTCATTCAGTTCTGTTTCAACAGCCCTTGTGGCATGATGGAGGAGGCAACTCAGGGAGCGTCCTGTGAAGTTTCCAGCCTCACGTCAGTCTCCCATCAATTTCCTGAAGTAATGAAGACGTAATTAAATTTTGCAGTGGAAAGAAGCTTCGCCAATGGCAAGAGCATATTGTAACTCCCCACTCATCAGGGGAAATGCTAGGCTCCAAATTAAATGCATTTACTGTTTCATGTACCCTCACTTAAAATCGTTGTAATGAATCTGGGAATTAATTGTTTACCCATTTAAAAGAAGTCCCCTCTTGCACTGTGCCGTGCTCCCCTCCTCCCAGCTCTCTGTAATTTGATATTCCAGTTAGAAAACAAATTGGCATTCATTGGAAAATCAATCTTTTCATTGTTTAACTCTCATTTCTCTGGGGAATGTGTGGGAATGGAATTACATCCTCTGATAGGAACCTTCTCCGAATGCCTAATTGTGGCTGGGGAGCAGGGAGGCTGCCCACATCCCGGGAGCCGCCAGGACCCCGCACTGGCAGCATCCATGGTGCTGCCTAAGGAGGAGCACAGCCACGCCGGAGAATATCAGCCAGTTGCCTCAGTAATGAGCCCAGTAATAGAGCCTGTCATTTATTAGGTGGGATAAAATGGAAAGTGCTTGTTGTGGTGGGGCAGACGCCAACAAACAATGCAATGAAAAGCCTGAAGACGCACTGCTTTGTTTTTATCAGGGCTGGAGAGGGGAAGAACAAACAAAATACGTCCTTTTCCGTGGGTTTGAGAGGATCTCAGCTCCTGTGTTTCCTCTTTCCAACAGGCCACTGCTCCTGACCAGGGTCCTCAAGGATGGGGACTGGCAGGTCCCCAGGGTGATCTCACAGCCTGCACCAGCCATCCCCTTTGCAGAAGTACAGAGCAGTACTCGTTAAAGGCTTCACTTTTTCCTTGTAAGTGGGCAGTATCTAAGCACACAAGGCAGCTGGCCTGGCAGTGATCCTTTTGCTTCCCATGGAGACACTTGCTGCTGGAATAAACTGCTATTTTTATGGGTAACATTGGTTGTCTTTTACACTTACTGCAGGAAAATGAATAGCCACTTTTATGCAAAAAGGTTTTACTGCGATATCAGAAAGTACTAATGAATATACAGAACCAAATTATATGGTACCCCATGAGTCAAAACTCCTGGACAGAGATTTACAGCAAAATGAGTGGCAGGCAAAGATAAAAGCCTGCAGCCAAAGCTGGTCATATAATTAATACTGGGGACAATAAATTTCTGAAAAATTGAGCTGTCAGTCCCTTTCATGTGGACTCCCAGCTCCATTTCAAAGCCAAATAACTTGTAGTCTCAAGGAGTTAATGCACCAGATAAAGCACCACAGCAAAAGCAGCTTCTGCATTTGCAAGCATCAAGGTTTTCTCTGACCCACCGTGTGCCTGCCAGGATTCACTGAGAGCCCCTGAAGCATCGCCCCCTGCCAGGGCACAGGCAGCAAAGGGGCTCTCTGCCCACCTACTAGAGGCGCAAATCTCTCCCAGCAGCTTTCTCTCCACCAAAAAGGAGGGTTCCATCACTTGGCCCCATGGGACAGCACTGCACTATCTGTGAGCCTGGGGCACATATTTGTCCCCTGACTCAGCTGTCACTTGCTCGCTTGCTTTTCCTCTTCCCCTTCCTCTCTCCCTTCACAAATTAGCAACAAACAAGTTGCAGATTGTACTAATTAGTTGTCTGGAAGATATGCAAAGAGAAGGTTACGTGGAGACCTCATAGCAGCCTTCCGGTGCCTGAAGGGGGCCTGCAAGGAAGCCGAAGAGGGACTCTTCATCAGGAACTGTAGTGGCAGGACAAGGAGTGATGAGTTCAAACTGAACCAGGGGACATTTAGATTAAATATACAGAAGAAATTCTTGACTGTGAGGTTGGTGAGGCACTGGGCACAGGTTGCTGAGAGAAGCTGTGGTTGCCCCTTCCCTGGAAGTGTTTGAGGCCGGGTGGGGCTTTGAGCAACCTCATCTATGTGGGAGGTGTCTCTGCCCAGCAAGGGTGTGGGAACTAGATGATCTTCAAGGTCCCTTCCAACCCAAACTGTTCTATGAGTCTGTGATTGTCTTTCAAGGGACTGTTTGGACCACTGCCTGGCAGCCGCCCCACAGCCACCCACGGCACCCACTGCTATCTCTGGGGGCAACCAGCCCACCACAGTGGGTCTGCCTGTTCCTCCTAGCAGCTCTGACAGGCCAGGAGGGAAGACCAAGGGTCCCCAAAATTGGATGTACAAGGTGTAACCATGCTGCTGGCATCCTTTGCCCCCCCCATAGCCAGACTGCCCCTCACCCACTTCAGCCCCACTGTGCATTTGGCACAGGGGGCACTGGCAGCGGTGCCGTGAAAGACAGTGTGTCACCCTCTGCAGCCCCGTAATCACATTCCCTCTCTCTTCTCTTATTCTCACTTAGCAACACTATATGAGCATCTTTGTCAGGCGCATATTAGGAACCATTCGTCATAAAAAATTAAGGGCTATGGAAATAAAGTGACCTCTCCAAGGGCTTCAATTACACTGTAAGGTAATTGTGTCTTCGCCAGGCCTCCATCAGGGTGTTTGGGAGTCTTCAGCAACAATTTATGTATTTATTACAGTTTAAGTATCCTTAGCCCTCAGCTCTTTCCAGTAATGAAAATATATAACACAAACCCCAGCAAATACGGACTGAGCCGTGTGTAAAATATGACAGCAATGCTCTCGGCCATCACAGCACGGAGAAAAGTGGCTGTAACCTCCAAAACCTCCACAGGCATCACAGTTGCTCCCCCAACTCCTCCATAGTCCGATCTGGGACTGGTACCAGGGCAAGGTAGAAAGTCTTCCCCAGGGAAAAAAAAAAAACAAACCAGATTATTATTGTTCTTGGCACAAAAGGCTGCTTGAGAGAGAAAGGCAAAGCTGAGTTTATTTTATGAAGGGGGTTTTTTTTCTGCAAAGTTTTTTTTTGTGTGCAAAGCACTTTGCAGAGAAGGAGCAGGGAAGGACTGCAGAGGCCGGTGACAGTCTTAGCTCATTACACACCAGGGGAGCAATCCCGAGACCAGCTAAGACCTCTCCAACTATAAAGGGAGCAGGGCTGAGGTTGGAGCTCCTTCTACCCAGGGATCTGCCACAAGCAGAGTCGGGACAGCGAGGCTTCAGTTCACCTCCTGGGGGGCTGCAGACAGGATTGTTTGCAGGTGGCTCCCAGCAGCCGTGCCCTGATGCTGACATGTTTCCACATGAGCTGCTGGGTCTGGCCACTGCAGCTCCCTTCCTGGGCAAGGCAGACACCATGAAAGGAGAAGAGATGCTGTAAAAAACAAGGTAATTTAGGTCCCCCCCCGCCAATCCTCAACCTAGAAGGGAGCTGAGAACATTGGAAGGGAAAAGTCATCTGAAGGGCCCAGGCTTTCTTTCCCCCTCAGCTCTGAGAAGTAGGTCTCCCTGGACTGTTCAGCGCAGCTAAAATCTGTGCTGAAGATGCAACAGAAAAAGGAGCCTTGTAAGATGCCGCTGGAAATAAAGAAAGACAAAAAGCTAATTTTTTTTTTTCTTGTCGGAAAGACACCGAGTCCTACACCTTGGATGAGAAAGAGATGATTTAACAAGAAAAAGATGTCACTAAATCCCTGGGCTATAAATCATTCTTCTTACAGTCTTCAAGCAAAAACACTTAACAGCCATTCTGTGCAGTATGAGGACAGAATTGCATCAGATTGCACCTGATTGGATGCATCTGAACTAGAATAAACGGGAAAATGGGCCCAGCCACTTGTTTTATAGTTGTGGGAGAATTATACAGCACCTGGGACATATTTCCTACTCCTGCTGTGTTACAGGCTAATGTCATGAGGACGGTGCAGTTGGCATTAGATGTGCCTGGAAGCTTCAAGGACTCTGTACTGAGGGCAGCCTTGAAGAAGGGCGTTTTAACAAAAACCTTTTGATAATTCATTCAGGTGGCTTCATCAGGCAATTTACAATTTCTGGTGTTTTTTTCTTGTTGCATATTAAAAAAAAATGAAAGAGGAAAAAAAGTCTGCTGTGCTAAAGCAGAAATTGGTGACAGGTCCCAGTAGCCTCCCTTCTACACAGTCTGGATGGTGATGCTGTGGAGAAACCCCTACCGGGGGTGTGTGTCACCAGGGCAAGTGTCAGGAGAGTTTCCAAAGGGTTCACATGGACATTTCCTGATATAGGAACAGTGAAGCCAGATGCAAGAGGATGCTCTATTGCTGCACTGATTTAATTGCTAAAGAAGTGGTAATTGCTTGGGAAGTACTGACTGTGGTCCGATTATAGTCAGTAGGAGCAGAGGGCAGCCCCAGACAGCAATAGAGCAACTCTATGCTTCAAAAATGCTGAGATAAATCAGGGGAAATTACCAGCAAAACTGACTGGGTGGAAAAAAAACAATAACTAAATGGCTGTAAGCAGAAAGTGAAAGAGCTCTTTAAGAGGTGTTGTAGAAACAGTGAAGGAAATACTTTAGAAGTTAGCCTGACAGCTGTTAGAAATAAGAAAACAATAGCTGGGAAACAAGGAAGGGAAAGCTGTCTGAAGAAGATGCCATGAGAAGCATGGGATACTGGAAAAAGAAGCAAAGTAATAAGAAAATTTTCAACATTGGTATAGATGCCAATGTTCCAAGGAGAATTTAAACAGAGTGAGAAAAGAGTCAGCGGATCCTCCTGTGGGCAGGAAAGGCTCACAGTTTGGAAAAGGCGGGCAGGTGTGATTGAAAGAAAGAGGGCATGCATTTATACCAGCTGAAGGTGATGGATGCTCCCTCTTCTATTTTCACCAAAGAGTCATATTTAAAATTGGCTGACCTACCTAGCTGCCTCTCTGGAGCCTGCAGCACTGCCTGGGCCACTCCTGCCCTGTGGTTAGTGTCTGAACCAGACCAGAGCCACCTTCCCCTACCTGGAGTGCATGAAAACAGATGGAAACTGTGGGGCTGTGGACACCATCGAGGGGTGGATGGCCATGGATATTGTACCTGAGCCACAGTGATGCCACCCTCCTCCTGCCTCCTGCTCCCCATGTGTTTTGCAGGGCTGATCTCCCACATTGGTGATGAGAGGAACTGTGTGCCCAGCAGTGCCCATAGACTGGGTGGGAGGGGGTGAAAAGCAGCATGTCCAGCTGGCAGCTGAGAAGCTTACAACAGCCTCTTAGGTGTCAGGCATGGTCCTGATACTGACTTGCTGGATCCAAGCTCAGCTTCTGCTTCAGGGGCACATGAATGCAGCTTTCAGGTCCTGGGTGTAATAGGTAACATTTCGCTGGGGAAATGCCAGCTGGTTCATCTGAGGAGCTGGTTCATCCTTGCCTAGAGAGGCAGGACTTGCTGAGGATATGCTGTTTCTGGAGTATCACTGCTCACCCACCCTTCTCCAGACAGTTTTGCTCCCCTGAGAGAAACCAGTGTTGTGATAAATGACTGCTCTGCATCTCACTGCTCTTTCTTTCCTACGTGGAAACCTTCTGGCAGAAAGCACCACAGACACCCTCTACCCTGATTTTCAGGTTCACCTAACCATCAAAAAGCAGATCTGCTGCCTATCCCAAGTGCAACACGGAGAGTCACTGGCACAGCTGAGCACACCCCCTCCTAACTGCTGAGCACGGTCACCTCTCAGGTTGCCTCCTCTGCCACTGGACCAGAACAACTTAATCATGTTTTACTTTTGGTTCAGATCTTTCCGTTGTGATTCCAAGGAGAGAAGCCATGATGTGGCCTGTTTTCCTGAACCCTGACAGTGCCACTGCAGTGAAAGTGTAATTACTGGGAGCTGAGCATTAACCTTCATACGAGCCTGGTTTCACTGCTTTTCATTCCTTTGCTTTTATTGATCCTTTTTTTTTAGCTTGTTTGCACTTCCTCTTTTTAAAGACTTTTAAAGTAATGGCCAGCTCAAAGGGAGCATTGCTCTTGTAATGAAAAAATACAGTGTTTCGGTGCTGTAACTTTTGGCTGTTTTCTTGGGCCCTTGTTACGTTTGTTTCCATCTGAACACCATTTCATTCAATGGTTCCAAACAATATTGTATTAGCCGTAATTTTGACCTTGCTGCAATTTCTAGCAGAAAATTGTTTCATCTCGGAAATGGCCAGATTTACTCTTCAAGCCAATGAAAATAAGTCTGCAAGGTTGAAAAGAAGATGTCAAAAGCAGGCACTAAAGATCACTTTAAATGATAACAGTTGTACTTGTAGCAAAAATAATATACAAAGCTTTCATCTAGCAATTTTCATCCTCAGACAGCAAAGTGCTTTACAACAGAGCTCACTGTCAGCAGCCCTGTTTATAAAGGTGAGCAGAAATATGGCTTTTGCTTTCTTTGCTGTGTTCCTCTACCCAAAACCAGCTTGTTAATTAGACTCATCAGCTCTCCTGCTCCCCCTGGACATGGCCATGCCTTTCTGGCTGAGCAAAGATATTCCCAGTGACCGCCCCATGGGACCTGTGGTGTCCAGCACAAGGGCCAAGGAGAGGTTTGTTCTTGCCTGATTAGCTGAATCCTCCTTTTCTGTGTGTGTGTGTATTTTTTTGTCCTTCCCACTTAATAAAGAGAGTTGGCTTTAGTCTTAGAAGGGCTAACTCAGCTTGGCTTCTGTGTGCCCTGTTCTGTGTGGCTGTTCCTGGGGGGCTGCACACCACGGCACAGTCTGAGCCAAATCCTGGCTCAGGTCAGGGCAAACCCAGGTGATGATGCAAACACACCCTGAATGTCTCCAGACTCATCAGAGCAGCTCTACACATAAAGAAGACACATCCTGCAAGAGCAAGCACCAGGACCAGCATGAACATCTGAGACTCATTTCACCCCTGGGCTGGGCATCTCTCAGCTGCCCTAATGTCAGAAGGCAAAACACTTCATATTGAACAGGGCAGCAGCAGTCTGCTGAAGGGGCTGAAATAAAAGTCAAAACAGCAACCTTGTGCTTGCTAGGACTGTGTTTTGAGGGGCATGGGGCTGTAGGCTCTTGCTGCAGCTCCGTGTGCAACACCTCAGAATATTTCCTCTCTGCCGGTGAATGTGGTCTGTTAAATAAACCTTTTTTGGCTCACTTCTATAGTTTTGAAGAGCCTGTTTCTTGTCTTTGTGTCCCCAGGAATGAGGACTAATTGGAATGTAACACTTGCTGCACAGGCTGAGTTCAAGGAGCCGCTGCTGTGAAGTCTCCGTTGCCCTGGGGGTGGCTGCTCTTCACCCCAGAAACGCAGGCTGTGAAACCCAGGTGCCTTTGGATGTCTGATGCCCAGGAAAGCACAGGCAGGGCAGGCTCCTGCCTCTGCATGTGGGTGTGAGGCCCCACGGGGAACAGTGGGGACCCTCCCCACTCCATGCATTGGCTGGGCTGCTGCACAGGGAGTGTGGTCCCTGTGAATCTCCGATGTTGAATGCCTGTGCCTGCCCTTTCTCTCTGTTTCTGAGCTGAACTGTGTTCTCATTTCAAGCAGTTTTCCTCAGCACTGCTGGAAGTGGGTGGATTTTTCCCAAGCTGAGCGCTGCCCAATATCACCCTGACACCTACCCACTGGCTTTCCTCATACCTTATTACATCCATTCTGCAAAATATCTGATGCATCAGAAATGCTACTGAAATGGCTGCAAAGGGGTTTTATTTAACCTGAGAGCTGGCCAAGAGGCAAGAGGTTGCACCTCTGGCTGGGCTCATGCTGGGCTTTGCCTCTACACCTCCTTACTGCTGTAGAAATGCTGCCACCTCAGAGTTTGCTGCCGAGTAAAGCTCAGCAAGGAAATCATTCCTGCAGGAAGTTTAATTGCAGCCATTAAGCCTTTAATCTAATCGTGGTGTGCATCTCTAAATGGCAAAGCTGTCCCTGAAATACAGGCATTCAGCCACGTACCTGCTCAGTGCTTCCTTAGCATTGTGTTTACAGCTATTTTTAGTGACCCAGAAGCAGGTAGCTCCACACTTATTTGGACAGAAAATTAATTTAAAAATAAATAAATAAAAGGCACACACAAAAGCAAACCTATCTCTCCCTGGAATAGGACCCCCAGCTCACATTCCACCAACTGTGAGTCCTGTTTGCAGCTGGCTGTGTCTGTGGTTTTCTGTTGCTTATGTCCCATGGCCTGAGCCCACCTGGGACACAGAGACCCCCACACCTTGCTGGCTCAGCCCCCTCCCTGCCACTCTGCAGGGCACACAGCATGAGCAGGGGAGAGGGAAAAGCCTGTTGGTGTACAGGTCTCTCTTCTCTCATCACCACAGCCCAGCCCAGCCTGACCCACTTGCTCCCATTCCTGTGCTTGTGAGAGCAACCTCCCCTAGCTGTGCCACCACCCTCTGTGCAGTCCCACCAACATGCTCATGGATGGTTCCATCAATCATCAGACCTAGAGCTCAGGATAAAAACACGTGCTCCAGACTTTAATATTAATGGCATGTGTTGCATGGTGTTAAAAAAGGAGGACCAGTGTGCCTTACCTGATGGGGATGGGGAAGAAGTCGGTGGTGACCAGCATGGGCTCATTCACCAAAAGAGGCTGCTGGTACAACTGCGCTGCAAGTCCCATCTTCAGGCTCCTTGAGGTCTTCACCCACAAGGAAAAGCCCAGGAGATTCCAGCAGAGCCCTTCGGAGATGTGTGACAGGAATGAAGCTTCCACACCAAAAGGCTGTCAGAGACCCACCAGATTCACAGCCCACCTTAAAACCAGGGCTGAGGACTCTCACCTGTGAAGCAAAACAAGCTTTGATTTTTTCCAGCCAAGTTTAAATGAGCTGTCCTGTGAAGAAACTGATGCTTAAAAGTTATAGAAAAACATGGACAAAGTGGGATACCCCCCAAAAGGCTGCTTTAAATAGAGATTTCATTTCATCTGGATGTCTTATTTCAGTAAAATCTTATCTGCAAGTTTCAGGGCTGCCTGGGAAATCTTGCTGCCTCACCAGAGAAAAGGATATTTAAAAAGGATTTAATCTGACAGTCTTATACTGAAAGTGGATTTTTAAGACATAAGCAAAGATTCAAGAAGGAAAGGTTAGTGGGCTGTTGAAAATGCATCTGCATTTAAGCTAATAAAACTTAATCTCTAGTTAGTTATTAAGAGACTGAATGTGATGAGCCATGGTGACTTCTGGGCTCAGGTACCGATGAAGGCAGGCAGATGCTGTGGCAGTGATGGGAAAGGAGTCAGAACCCCCAGTTCAGCACAGACTGCTCCCCAGCCCACTGACCCTCACACCCCACCAAACACTGCTGAGGTCCTGGGTGGGCAGAAGCACATTACAGGGTGAACAACAGCAGTCTTATGAAGGAAGTATTGGTTGGTATATTTAGACCTCACAGGCAGGAAAAATTTTGACCCAAATTTAAAGCATATTAGACACCAAAGAGCCCATTTCTCCTTCCATATAGGAGGTCTCACCCTTCCCTTCATCCCACAGGAGAACTCATGCATCAATTAGTATTTGGCCCACCCCACAGCCATGAAGTAATTCAAATCAATCAAACACATTGGCTCCTTGGCCATAAAGGCTTGCTCCAATTAGCTTCAGCTTTAAAACAGAGCAAGTAGGATATAAATTGTTTCACAAAGCTCCCACCTATATTTCTCCCCAAATGTTGAAATGACATTTCTGCCCACTGAAAATAGGACCTTGGAAAAGACTCTCTGGATAGTTCATTTGCTGGAAAAAAGAATTGACAGCCCAATTAATCTCAAAGCCCGTGACTTTTAAACCACAGCTGTCAGTGAAGGCATTCTGGGATGAGAGCAGGAGAGGCTGGATCAATATCACAAGATGCTGCTGTCCCAGAGACATTCAGCCTCTCCCTGGTGCCTGGCACCATGCCCACTCTGCCCACCATGCCCAAGGACTGTGTGACTTCCCAGGCATCCATGGGCTGCCCTGAGCTCAGACCAGATCCATGTCCCTTTGTGCACAGCTGGTGGGACAGGGACCCTTGTTCCTGACCCAAATCAGAACCAAACTTTCCCAACACAGAGCTGAGACAAGTCATGATGAGCTGAGCTGAGCTGTAGAGGCACCATAGAGGTACCAGCATTTTCAGACAAAGCTGCTGTCCCATGCAGGGGACCCACAGCCCACAGCCAGCACAGAAAGAGCCCCAAAATGCAAACACTTTGTTTCCCATTTTCCTTTCCAACTAATGATCTCACTGTGCAATTGCCTCCCTCCTTTGCAACCGATGCTCTCCAGACGTTCACCTCATTTTCCCAATGGAGAAGCTGGTGTCAGCTGCAAACACAAACACCCTTGGAAAACAACTCAGCACGTGCTTGTGGAAGGGCATCCACTGTCACATGGCTCAGCCCAACCAAACAAGTCCACCAAGCCACTGGCCACAGCAGCTCCAGCTCTCCGAGGCAGGGGCTTAATCACATATCTGTGCCCCAGCACGGATTTAGGGGTGCAGCTGACACCACTGTGCCTGGCACCACATCAGCTGCACTTGAGGGATGTGGGCAGAGGAAGGTGGCAATGGCTTTGCAGGCAGCTGGATGTGGCTGTGACCTTACTGGGTACAAACCATCCCTGCACCTCCCACACAAATTATAGGATTGACCTTGCAGTCCATTTAGAGCATTAATTACCTTGTTCCTTATGTTGTTGTTATCATTATTGTTATCTTCTCTACAGGTATAGAAACACCTCAGGCTATCAGATTCTGTTCTGGCAACAGCTTAAATCCTCTCTGACTCCTGCATGGAATCCTTGCCATATAAAAGGCATCTGTCAGGTATCAATTTCCTAAATTTCCTTGGCCCCATCTCTGAGTGCCAGAGGAAAAGGCATTGCTTTCATGCTCTTTTGTTCTTGCTGCTATCTCCTGATCTGCAGATTGACTACATCATGCTGTCTTCTCCGAGCCTTGATCCTGAGGCTGGATCAATGGGATTAAAATTCCAGCTTTCCTTACAACCTTTATTACAAGAGCTGACTTGAATAACATGCTGTGATGTCCCTCAGCATCCAGTGATGCACCCCAGCAGCCACCAGTGTCCTCTTGCATCTGTCCCTGGCAGCAGTTTCTAGGCTAGGAGTTGTCCCAGGAGGACAGGATGGTCCAAAACCCGATGGCACAAATGCTGCTCAGGCAGGACTGCTGTGACCCGAGCCATGACAAGTGCCACTGAGAGCCTGGAAATCTCTGGGAGGTGCCCACTGTCCCCTCTTCCTGCCCACAGCCTGTTTCTAAATTCACCAGAAAACAGAATCACAGAATTGTTAGGGTTGGAAGGGAGCTCTGGAAATCATCTTGTCCAACCCCCCCTGACAAGGCAGGGTCACCTAGAGCAGGTTACACAGGAACGTGCCCAGGTGATTTCTGAATGTCTCCAGAGAGAGAGACTCCACAACCTCCCTGGGCAGCTCATTCAAATGGAGCAGCTCATTCCAATGCAGACTGAAAATTCCCACCACAACCCACACTGCAAACAAGTCAGCCCTGTGCGCTGCCCCTAACGCGCAGGAAAATTGCTTTGCAACCCTGTGCTAACAAAAAGCAGCCATGCATCACTTACCAATATTGAGTTCCTTTATAAAAACATGGTTTTGCTCCGCTCTAATTGCTCCAAATGAAGCAATTGCATTATCTCCCTCCCAGTCATTGTACCTCGCCAGCGGATGCTCTCCACCAGCTCGAGAAGTTTGCCCTCAACATGGATTAGATCTGAATGCTCAGGCAGTGGAAAAGTGTCTGCCCTGCCTGTCATACCTGGCTGGGAAGGATGGATGCAAACAAGCTCTCACAGGTTTCCCAGACTCCTCATGCAGGCTGGAGCCAGGGGCCAGGAACTGACCAGGCTGGGCAGAGGTCCTCTTCCAGCTTCACCAGGGAGTTAATTTAGGAAAGAGAGAGACCGGGCAGACCTTCTCTATGAAGCAGAGGTGCAGTAATGCTACTTTCCTCACTCTCGGCTCCTAATCAGGGCTTTTGGTGCTGTTCCTGTGTCCTGAGGCTCAGTCTGTCTCGCCTCCCATCCCCGCAGGTTCTCAGGGACCCAGGGGATAACCTGGAGTCTTGAGAGCTCTGGACAGCAAGGTGTCACTTCAGTGCTATGCTAGCACTTAGGGAGAAAAGCAGTATAAATGTTCTAATAGAGCTGGCATACTAAAATATGATACAAGTTAGGCCATAACTCACCTGACCCTGTATTTCACATCATTTCTAATGACATTTGTCATTAACAAGCAGCCCGTCACTTCCCTCTGCTCTCAGACTGCTATTGCAGAGCACAGGGCATCCCTCCTTCAGTCATTTACCCCTGGGAGATGCCCCCCTTCCATGGGACACATCACTGCTCTGGATTTATTCCCCTTCCTGGCATCATTTTCTCATGCACCATTCAGCAGCCAGCTAGGGACAAAGGACAAGGGGACTGGAACCCTTCTGCTTTAGGATGACCCTGTGCTGCAACACTGGCAGGGTTGGCATTGCTGGTGCAATGATTTGGAAACCTCTGGACTCTGGCTCAGGGCTGGTTGTTCTCCTGCACACCCCATGCCACAGCTCCCGTGCACACACACACACACACACACACACACACATATACACACTCCTCTCTGCCTCAGGAATCTGCCCATTGCCATGGAAACGGTGGTGACATCAGGCACTGCTAACGTTATTCCAATGACTGATTGCTTTACCAACGGTGAGCCAAATTACTGAAACAATTTCCAGGCCCCAGAGATCTGTATTTAACATACAGGAAGATGCCAAAATATATCCCTCACCTGCAGGGATTCTGAGCAGGGCTGGAAAAGGACAGCTGGGGACCTTTGCCTGGGCTTGGATGTGTGGCACAGAGGGGTTGTTTGGGCTCCAGCCCACTTTTACTTTGAATCTTAATTTTCTGGGCTTCTTAAGAGCTGGTTTTTACCTGTTTGAGCTGCCCGAGTAGTGCCTAGACTCTAGTTTAACAGATACTCCTGTTTTGTCATCTTTTGGTACTTGCTGCTGCTGACAGTAGTCTGGCTAGTCTTTTTTCTCTCTTATTTTGTTTTTCTCTCTTATTTTGTTTTTCTCCTTACATGCCTTTTCTTCTCTGTGGCTTTTTTGAGTTGAAGGGTCCTAGGATGAGGATCCTATCATCCCAAAAAGTGCAGCTCTCCCAAGTTTCCAGCACAATGCTTTGTGCCACCCCTGTGGCCATTCCTGTCTCTGGCTACACAGTTGGAAGCTGCACACATGGCAAGTGCCTACTTGTTCCTGTCCTTCACGGTAACTGCTTCTTATGCTCCTACTCTGAGAACCCTTCCCAGCTTTCATACCCAGTCTTGTGTGCAGAACCACTTCAGGCAGGGCAGCTGTGTCCATGCAGCTCAAAAAGGGACCAACAACAGTACACTTCAGGACTTGCACCCACAGTTGTCAGCGGCATGCTAACCCCAAAGGTGAAGAAGAAAGAGCTCAATCTCAACAGCAAGACTGAAAGCTGATGTACCACTTGCCTTGCCCACTACCATAAGGACGGTTCAAGAACCCTTTCTGCCTCTGGTAGAACCAGAAAATCATAGAATGGTGGCAGGGACACCTTCCTTTAGACCAGGTTGTTCAGAGCCCAATCAACCTGGCTTTGAACACTTCCAGGGATGGGGCATCCACAGATTCTCTGGGTAATCTGTGCCACTGCCTCACCACCCTCACAGTAAACAATTTCTTCTTATTATCTAATCTAACCCTGCCC